GGGAGGGAGGGAGGGAGGGAGCGGAGGGAGTTGTCATGGCAACAGATGCTCCCGCAATCCCTTCATGGTCGCCTAGGAGTGACATCATCACTGGATTCGGAGGTGACCGGCTGCCATGAAGCTGATTCCTGACGCCAACAATAAGAAACATAATTATCCAGACAAAGTAGGAGTTAAAAGGACTAGGGAAGTGGGGTTTAAATCTCAGCTTTCTCCTCCTTTAGAACTAGAGCTAATGTTGGGAAAAGACTATTCTCAAATTCCCATAAATAACCAAGTCTACTTTTATTTTGTTTTGTTTGGAATAAAATTTTTCATGTGGATCAAATGCAAGGAGACTTTTATCATCTGCATTTTAGAAGCTTCCAAACCTTCTCCGAACAACCCTGACAATGTCTCTGTTTTCCGTGTTCCTTCCTTCATGGTTGTGTCTGTTCTCTTCACTACAGTACATATCTGCTACAGCTTACAGGACAAATCGAAAAGGAGGATGTGTCCCAGATGCCTTGGTGCTGTGCTCCCCTAGGATTCCAGTCTTGAGTTATTTGTTTTTGTTTCTTTACATGGGTGCATGGGTAACCACTTGGTCTTGTTTACAAGATTCTCAAATAACTTTTGTTAAGCACTACCATCATCATCATCATCCTCAACTATGTCACCAAGATTCATTCACATATCAGTCTCACAATGGCAGAGCTTTCAGTCTGTTATTTTACATTATGCTATCATCTAAAATAGAGCTGGGAGAACATTCAGGTAACTTACTGAAGAGATTAATTATTAGAAATATCGGGCGGGGGGGAACAGGTGCAAGTTTAATAAAATGTAGACATGTGGGGTCTGGAAAGATGGTCCAGGGGTTTAGTGCACTAGCTGCACTTCCTAGAGGACTCTGGTTCGATTCCCAGCACCCACATGGCAGCTCATAACTGTCTTTAACTCCAGTTCCAGGAAATCTGAAACCCTCACACAGATGTACATGCAGGTGAATACCAATACCCATACAATAAAAATAAATAAAACAATTTTAAAACTTAAATATTTTTAACAAACTTCAATAAAATTATTATCCTTAATAAATCTCTTCAGGCTCATGTTTTTCTTCCCTTGCTTTGTGAAGCTGTCAACAATGTTCACATTTTTTCTCTATCACATCCATGATCCTTGTAACAGCAGTGAGACATTCTAGTATGAAATTATATTGCACATTTCTTAAAGGAAATCACCATACCATTCCCCCTTCCTCCAAAATAATACATTAATAACACACTGCACAAAAAAAACATATTTAGAAACACTGGAGAAAAAAGTTACAAAATCATAAGCTTATTAAAGAGCTATATTTTGGATAAAGAAACAGTTCAATTTAGTCATAAGACTCAATGCAGATGAGTGAGGAAGCAACAAAGACTCATGGGAAGGTTAGAGAGTAAACAGATTCACGCACACATTGCACATCAGCTATGTGGGTGTCATCGCTGTGTGGGCTTCCTGAGTGCATGGCTTCCTGACAGTTATCCTCTTTGCTTCACCCATCCTCTCAGACTTGTACCTCACTCCTCTGTGGGCAGATGCTCTGCGTCGCTGGCTCATAGTAGGAAACGTGAGTGGGAAAGTGGTGTTGATCTAAAGAGGGACTGAGTTAAAAAACACCAAGTAGCTCATACATTTTGGGAGAGAAATGTAGCACTTTTTCAAAACCTGTCAAATATGGGGAAACTAGGGTTGGCACATAAAACACCCAGGAAAAAAATTGAATATTCGTTCAAATGAAAGAAGTCCATAACCCTGAATTTTAATCTTTTCCACTTAAATTTTACTTGAGGGCTCATTTTTAGTTTGTGGGGTTTTTTTTCCTAGACTGCTACAGCAATCAGAAAGTCATAAATATTGAGACTCAGTTGTCACTCTAAGGAACATTTTATGATCTTTTGAAGTATATTAAAATGAAAAACAATTCTGATATTTTGTGGGAGAGGCTCATCTACTTTGCGACTCTGCATTACTAAGTCATCAAAAATGATGAGAAACCGTCAAGATAATTGAAATGCAGAGACACATCTAGTCAGTAGATATTTTAATCTCCCTACCCTTGTCAGGAAATGGAGGGGAAGCTGGAAACGTGACCCCAAAGGCTTGTTTATGTACCTTACAAAGCTCAGTTAATCCGACGAAAATGTGTACTTTTCATTTATGGACCTATGTAAACTGATGATTTCAGCTACCTCCAAATACACAGATGTGCAGACGTACATACATACACACGCAGTCTGCTCACACACTCTCTCATGCATACACACACACACAGTCTCACTCACATACTCTCTCATGCATACAGACACACACACAGTCTCACTCACACACTCTCTCATTCATACACACACACACACATGCTCACACACACATGTACACACATGCACACACACACACAGGCTGAAGCCCTCTAGACAGCACACTAGTGTGTATTATAAAAACAGTTCAAATAATCTTATTTAGCACTTTCTCTTTAGCACTGTCCTCTGATAGGAGGACATGAGACACGCCAAGCATCTGTGAAACATATAATAACAAATGATTCTCCACATGTTCTTGGAACATGTGTCTAAGCATCAGAAGGAGGATCAGGGCGATTATAGTTCTGACCTTCAATCCTAGCAAATAAAAGACTTTTAAAAAGGTCATTAAGAATACCTAAGTTTAACTAATATATTCAGAAGCAGTGACCAGAGCTAACTTTGGGCCAAGTTCTCACTCAGTCTTCAGTGAACTGAGAAAAGTAGGAATCCTAAAGCTGGATTTGCTTAACCTGGCAATAGAGGTTGCATGGATTAAAATATGCTTTTCTCTCTTACTACGGGATTCAAGTAATCATTAATAATCTCATTGAGTAAAGGCAAAAAATAACCTCTTTGTTTTACTTCTACAAAATGCAAAAATCTGGGACATGGTGAAGAATTCCTATTCTTCGTAAAGGAATCAGAGCATCTGCTTGGCATTCAAAATCCTATTTATTTTTCTGAGTCAACTTAAGTCCTGATGTCAGCACACTTGAGTACAACCCTGGGAACTTCTGCCAGGAGTAAATGAGTCCCTGGAGAAAGGTTGTTCATCTCTACAGACAGTTGTTGTGAATAGAAAGATTCTAGTATTGTAGTGACAGTTAACGTGCTTAAGAATGGCAGTGACTATGGTTCAATACAGGACAATGAGCAGCAAAGGATGCTGGGAAATGCTTTGGCCTGCTAGATATGGCTGAGTGATAAATGAGTAGAAAGGTTCCAAGTCTGTCTTCTCTTTCTGACAAACACTTGGCTAAAGGAGGAGCAATTACTAGCACCTTGGGGACTGGGGATGGGACTCCCACTCTGATTTTCCTCTAATTGCCAGTCTATTCTGAGTTCCTTCAAAGACACTAGGTTTGAAAGGGGTACCTCTAACAGAAGTGACATGAGAACACCCCACAGCAAACCATTCCAACTAACTATAATATAATAGTAGCTGTGACAGCGTCTTGGTCCAAGGAAGTTTCACTAGAAGAATCCCCCAAAATGGGCAGCGCTATAGACTATGAAGTGGACAGTTCTGGAAGCATAAACAACTGTCCTCCTTCCTGCTAACAGGGGATAAGGCTGGAACTGACTGTGTGAGGGGAGCATGATCATGTGTCTGCAAATTCACATGACTGTGCATGGGTGTAGAGGCCAGCCATCAACCTCTAGTGCTGTTCCTTACAAGCCGTCTATATTTTGCCTCTTGAAACAATGTCTTCACAGAACCTGGAGACTGAGATTCAGAGATCCACCTGTCTCCACATCTCTAACACTGGGATCACAGACATGCACCACTATGCCTGGCTTTCTGTATGAATGCTGGGGATCAAACTCTGGTCCTCAGTCTTGCACGGCAGACAGTCTACCAATCGAGCTATCTCCCTAACAACAAGGCCAGAAACAAGCCCTATCCTAAATCTGTAAGAACACCTCCCCTCTGCCTATCGCATATCAGACAGAACTTCACACCGTAAAATTTCACCTTTGACGTGTCAGTAATTTATTTATGATTCCCAAATTTCATCTTGACTTTTACGACAACCGTTCGCAGATGTGAGAGAATTAGATTTTTACAGGTTTCAGGATAACAGCTAAAGTCAAAGAAGTGAAATCTGGTAAAGGTCAGGTTTCACAAAACATTCCATAGTTCTAAAAAAACAGAAACTCACAACAAAAGAGATAGATGTTAGATGGTAAATGAGTAGACCTTGGATCATGGACCAAAGTCTGTGTCCAAAACATGCCCTTAAACACCCTGCTTTTACAGAAGATTTGGAATAAAAGGCAGCTCCAGCCTTTATGGCAGAGGCACCAGCAAAACCAGGGAGCAGGAAGGAGCATGCACAAGGTGACATCAGGCTGTTTGAGACCTAAGACGCTGACCCATGAATGTCATGG